CAGATAGACAAATGATATCTCAATTATGTTGACAATGTGCAATGGTGCTTGCGCAACAAATAAAATGTATATTTCAACCATGGTTCCAAGCGATTATATAACAAAAATGTTCATTCAATCATTTTGTCAAAATATTCAGTTTTGCAAGTTAACTTAGTTTTTTTCTTTAAGCACACCGTGTGCAATGCGTTTCCAAATGCAATGAGCAATTGTGTTAAGCAATCTTGATTTCTTTGGAACTGTAGCAAACAGTCTTTGTAAGTGACTTTAAATTTATAACTTTACCCACTCATTGGCTATACATTTAAAAAAAAAACTATAATCAGACATAGCAGATCGATAAAATGTATTTAAGTGAAGATGAATTCTCAACTTATGTACAGAGTTCTAAGGAACAACACTCTAAAAATGAGGAACAATAGTGTGCTTTTTATAATATACTGTCTAGCCATCAGAAACCACGAAGCTGAGTATCTGACTCATCTCTTTACTTTCTTAGCCTTAATGCTGTTATTTGATGGACTCAGACTTCCATGTTGAACTGTCCAGTTAAAGCCTAGTGTAAGGATGTCACTTGGACAGCTACACAGGTTCTGAATCATGACATAAAGCTGAGATAGACAATTTAAACCCAAAGGATCACATCCACATCTTAACACGTCTTAAACTGGATCAACGTGAAGATCTCCACAGGCAATCTGAAAGCAGTTTTTTTTTTTATCTACGCATCTTCCAAGGCGCACTGTCAGCATGTGCAAAACTGGGGATGGGTACAAAATGTTGTCAAATTAGTTTTTAATAATACATTGATTTTCAAGAACTGCACAACATATCATAATTGCATCAATCTGTGCATGAAAAATACCACAAAGAACTGCAATATCTGTTGGTTGGATTGCAGTTGTCCTGCATGCACACGTTGCATGTCATTAAGTTATTTAGCATGCTAGAATGGAGTCTCACGACAGTAGATGCAGCTAATGGTGCCCAAAATAGTGAAAGTCATGGGGATTGCTGGAAGCAAGATTATTACACAAAAATATTCAAATATCTTGCAACCCAAACGCATTTAGTGAAGCGAGAGGTTTTATTTGATCTTTCCAAAGAAGGATATTTTTGACCAGCCTCTTTGTCACTGTTGAATCGTGAACATTGACAAACTGAGGTAAGTGGATTTTGGTTCACTGGCTCGCCACTGTTCCATATTTTCTCTATTTGTCCATAGCAGCTCTTAGTACTGTTCATATAAGTACCAGAACCTTAAAATGGCTTTTTAAATCTTTCTAGACTGATGCGGTTCAGTAACTTGAATATCACATCGGGGCATTGTGTTTAAAGCTATAAACTTTATTGCTTTCCAACATGAAGTGGAACTTTTAGTCCACTTCATGTTGCCAGGCAGGTTCTATTTACATTATTCCTTGATTCTATAGTTCTGGCAGTAATAAGCACAAGCTGTGGCTGGTGAAACCAAACTCATCTTACATCATTAGCTGGCATTAGTGTATGGCTTAACATGGGAACAGCTGCAGCACTGCAGCAATCCACAATGAGTTGAATGTTTTTTGTTTTGTTTTTTTCCCAAATACTGATCATGAAATTATCATTTCCAAACTGCTTTTTGTATTTACACATGTTAGCTTTGTCTGATACTTCTGCTTTTCCTTTCAGGGGTCTCCACAGCAAACCATTTGTCTCCATGTTGTCCTATCCTCTGCATCTAAACTCACACCAACTAACTTCATGTGCTCTTTCACTACATCCATAAATCTCCTTTATGGAAATGTTATAACACAATTAGGTATAGGGAGTTGGGGGAACTAAAGTGGGAGAAATATGTAAATCGGTGAAAATTCCAGTCACAGTTTTTATACCATCGAATTTTGTACAATAATATTCACTAAACAGTTTGATAATTAAATGAAAGTGGGTGGGATTAAAAAATATTTGAAAATTTTATTTTTCCACAAATTATATATAGTCTGTATTGTTTACATGTTAAATAAAGTTTTGCAGATTGCTGTTCTCGGGGATTACATCTAACAACATTCAATATACAATGTGTAAATTATTTTTTTCCGATTATTTTTCATTAAAAATAGTTTTTACAGTAAGATAACAAAAGGCTTCATCTGTCTTAATGGCATGTCACTTTTTGCAGCAAAAAGTGACATGCTGCAAGCAGCAGATCTACAAGCAGATCTACTGCTTGTAGATCTTCAATCTACAAGCAGTAGATTGAAGATCGTTTACTGAGTCCTGCTCTCATGTACCTATTTGAAAAAAAATAAAATAAATAGCTGCCCACCTTCATCTGTACAGCGTTGTCAAACACCTGAACGCATCACAAGTTAAACATTTTGATCCAGTGTGTGAACATACTACACTGTTCGAAAAGCACAAATACAAACGCATTTCTCAGCGCACATTACAGACTCTAAAGTGTTCGAGAAACTTTTCACATGCATGAAAAGTGCGAAAGCTTGACTCACAGCGTCCGAGCCGTGACCCAAAAAGAGTGCGGTCAGTTAACTTTTAACGAGAAACTTACCAGCTCTCTTCCTCTCCTTCCCGCAGCTGCTCCTCCTGCCTCACAGCCTGCTGTTGCTGCTCAAACTTTAGCTTAAAGTCATGTAAACAGCGCGCAGCGTCGAGAGGGTTTTATGTCGACACACTACTTCCAAGTTACTTTAACTTAAGAAAAGGTTACTCTAAACTTCTTTTTCTTCTTTGTCAGGTTCTTCTTCTTCTCCTTCTTCTTCTTCTTCTTCTTCCTTTCCTTTCTCCTCACCCCCTCTACAACGCTCCCCCCCACTCAACAGTCACGACAGAAGCCACTTCCGCGAACAAATGGCAACGTCATCTGGCCGCGGTTCCTGCGTGGGTGTGTGTTTGGCTACTTCGTTGCACCTGGACCAGACTGCAGTTTGCGTAAAATAGAAATAGTGAACAAAAGTTGTTTTACTTGAACAGTTGGATAATTTCTGTTCACTACTGGAAGTTTTTCCTTCCGTTTTCGTTCAGTTTCATGAACTAAAACAAGTTAAAAGTTTAATATAACACCTTCTGTGCATCTGCTGAGGAAACCCTTTACAGTTCCTTTAAAAATAACATTAGCAGTGGCGGTTTTAGTATAAATGCTTGCCCTGGTTTTCCACTTAGATTTCTCACACATTTTAATAAAATTCCATACTAGATTTTTTTTTCTTGCGATTTTATAACATCCTCGATATTTGAGAACAAACTATTAGCTCTGAAAATCGTCATTGTCTCTTTCTTTGTTTCACAACTACTGAAACAACATGTGCTTTTTAGATTAGACCAGTTAAATTTGTTAAATCTTGTCAAGGTATATTCAAAGACCCCAGCTTTCTCACACACTCCAAAAAACACAACATGTTAATTTGTAACTTAAATGCTCATAGATATGAGTGTGTGTGCATGCATGGTTGTTTGTGCTGTGTTGCCCTAAAATCCACTGGCCACCTGTCCTAGTGATACTCTTGCCCAAAAACCACATAAACCAGTTTTGAATCACTAGTTAAACATATTTCAGAGTTGCCTATACAGTCCAAAAAGGTAGAGAAATGTCTGCTTCAGATTTTTTGAAATAGTTTATATTTAGTCACCATACCCATCATTGTCCATACCTACTTTTCCTTACAAGCTGGCTGGTCCACATCTCTGGCAGTCATTTGGCAAGATGCAGGGTACACCATGGACAGGTCACTAGTCAATCACAGTGCATTATAGAGATGTATAGATGTATACATTTTTGGACTGTAGGAGGAAGAACGAGCGTAAACCCATGCAGAAAGAACCATGGTCAAGATTAAAACACATTAACTTCTTGGGTAATATGCTACTGTGGAGCTCATGTGCCAAACCAAACATTAAAGTATTAATGGGTAAAACTGTTAAAATGAAGGTGTAATGGCAAATCAAATTTCATCAAACCATTCATTCATTAGTCCATCTTTCTATGTTCACATTAGCAATAGCTATGGAGCCAAAAACAACTGCAGAGAACTGAAACTGAATTTTTGGTTTTCATCTGCTGTAAGCAGATTAAGTTTACTGTGTGCAAAGTCTATATAATATAATTTTCACTTTTTGAATTTAATTTAATAGAATTCTTTTGGTGGCACTGATGTATTGAGACACATTTGTACGAGACTACCCACATTCAGAAGGGATAAGTCATGATACGTAAGAAGGTTGCTTGGTCCATAATGCACTTTCAAGTTGAAGAGTAAAAATATGCAAAAAATAAAATAAATAAATGAAATAAAAGTAAAAATTACTGGACATTTCCACACAAAAATGAAGTACAGCTCTCCATAGTAACATTACAGTAAGATAAGAAGCTCATCCAGATTGAAACGGTGCCTCAATATATTTTCCTCAAGCATTTTATTTATTTTAAATAAATACCAGAAATTATTTTGCTTATGTGTTTCACTTGATTTCCAATGTGTATATAAATTTTTATATAAAAAAGTTTTATTCATGTGATAATTATGCCTGTTTAGCTACAGACAAAAAATACCATATATCGAGACTAATAAATTTCCCTTAACTGTTAAAAATATTCATGAATGCCCCAGTATAACCATAAATATATGTAACAAATACTGTACTTATGGTTTTATGAAGTTATTTTGGAATTTCTAGCTCTTTTTTAATATTTTTTATCTTATAAAATTTATGTGCAACCGTCACGTACTTATGATTTTATGATTTTTATTTTATTATTTATAAAATTACGGTATACAACTGCAGATCCAAATATTAAGACGTTAGGGCGAGAAAGGTTTGATAAGATGGTTCAGTCCTGACTTTTTCGCCACTGGGGGCGCACGTGGTGAAGAACTCATTTAGAACTCAGGGAGAAGAAGCGGGTGCAGCATTTAGCATCTGTAGCATTTTATAGCAATCTCTCGTGTCCGTTATGACGGAAAAAGTAGGCGCTCGACGGGCCTGGATACCGGTAATTTAGATGTTTATTGAGTTTAATAACATTTTATATATAGGATGTATTAGTTGAAGCAAAACAATGGTTTCCGCGTACATGAAATTGCTAACAGCTAAAGCCCACCTCCATAATAATGATAGCTTGGCAAGTGACGCTTTCCTGATTGTGATTGGTCTCTTTCACTTGAACGACATGTCGTCACAACTGTAAGGATACGTACGTAAGAATGTCATGTCATGTCAATGACATGTCATGTTCAGGAGTAAGTTCCCTAGATTTTTAATGTTAATTTCAGAGTTTAACTGTTAAATCCTAACTAAACTGCAGCGAGCGTGCTTCTGGAATTAACTAATAGATGTAAGTAGAGTACATAGTTGAAAGGCAGTTAAATACATGTGTTAAAACAGCATGTTAGCGTACTTATTGTTTGCTGTTTGTGCTACTTACAGGAGGTGAATTAATCATCTAACGGCGAGGCTTATCTCAGGTAACTCAGATTTCTGATTAAATTACGAAATGGTTGATTTTAAGACTGTGGCAGTTTGTGGCTAAAGTAAACTGTACGTCAGTTCAATTCTATGCTTGATTTCAAAGATATATTAGACTGCAAGAACAAGTTTGTTAATTGTTGGTCTAAATTACGAAAGTATTGTTGGTTAAGTCATTGCGAAAAAACCCGAAGTATATTCGATAAAGATGCAGGCTAATATCCAGTGGAATATCTATGCTGTATCAGTTTCTTTACAACAGTTTTACTTTGCAAAAGACAGGAGAAGATAAATATTTGATTAAGTGAAAATGTAGTCTGACTGTAGATTGGTGATGCTTTGCAGCATTTCTTCTATGCAGCTGGAATGCCTCCCTTAATCACAATATTGCTTCCTTGTTTTTCTCTCTCTGCTGTTCTCTTTTCATATCTTTCCACCAAGATACTCCTTGGTAGGTGACAATTTATGAAGAACAAGAGGGCCTGAACTTCACTTGAATAATTTTAGATGCTCCATGTGGATCCATGTTGATGTAAGCATCATTTTCTGTCCACATGGGGTCATCGTGTGATTATTATAAAGTCTTAATATTTATGGACAGAGGGGTAAAGTGTACTTTAAGATGACATACAGTGCCTTGCAAAAGTATTCATAATCCCTTGAACCTTTTCACATTTTAACTCCCATCAGGAGTTTCTTACGGCTTTCTTGCTACTGTTCCGTGAAGGACAAATTTGTGGAATGCATACCAGTGGACGGATTCTCACAGCTGAGCTGTAGACCTCTGCAGCTCCTCCAGAGTTACCACAGGTCTCTTGATGATAAATTGAGCAGCACTCTGTTGTATTTTCAAAGTTTGGGATATTATTTTACAATGTATTTCTACTTCTCCACTGTTTTGCCACTGATCTTTCCTTTTTGCTGCTTGGTCTTCATGATGCTATTTGTTCAGTAATGTTCTGCAACAAATTTCTGAGTCCTTCACAGAGCCGCTGGAGATTAATATACAGGTGGACTCTATTTACTTAGAAGGTGACTTCTAAAAGTAGTTTTCTGCACTAGATTTTATTTAGATGCATCAGAGAGTTTAATAGTATCAAAAATACAAAATTCATGTAGGATTTTCCCTCAATTACTATTAGTGTTCCATCTCATAAAATTCCGGTAAAATAAATGTAAATTTTGTGACAAAATTTCGAGATGTTTAAGAGGTATGAATATCTTTGGATGGCACTGTACATCGTATTTTTTTCCTCATTAATTTTAGTTGACCTGACAAGCTTTTTAGCTTTATTTAATGCCGATATTCCCAGGCCTTCTTCTGTATTTCTGCTCTGTTCTTCTCAGCTTTTCGCTACCCGGTCTGAACAGAGCAGTGGTGCGTGTGAGGAGACTGGCAGCACAGCTCAGCAAAGCAACCATGTCCACTAACAGCCAGGGCGCCAGTTCGTCCTCTGCAGTCAGCGCTGATGCTCCTACAGCCGCCATTCTCATCATAGGAGATGAGATACTCAAGGTAGTTTTTTTTTTTTTTTTTTTTTTTTTTAAAAGTCCTTGAATTTGTTGTCGGAGTTGGGTTGGAAACTAACTTCTGCATCTCTTTCAGGGTCACACAGTGGACACCAACAGCACCTTCCTAGCCCGAGCTCTCAGAAGGCTCGGCGTGTCAGTGCAGCGTATAACGGTCATACCGGATATACATGAGGTCATAGCTAAGGAGGTGGTCGTCCTCTCCTCTCAGTACACCCACCTTATAACATCAGGAGGTGTGGGACCCACTCATGACGATATCACCTTTGAAAGCATTGCCGCAGCGTTCCAGGAGGAGGTGTATCCCCATCCTGATCTCACCCAGCTGGTTGAGGAATACTTTGGGGTGACGGACACAGACAGCCCGGCCATGAAGCTGGCCATGGTGCCTCGGTCAGCTAAACTTAACTATGGGATCGACCCTCAGACTGGAAAACGGCAGCGCTACCCAGTGGTAAGTGAGCTCAGGATAAAATTTCTGTGCTGATTTGGTGGTATATATTGGAATGATTTTCCTGCTGAAAGACCTAGTGATGAGTTCTTGGTGGTCTGCACTCTAACAATGTTCCTTGGATTGTTGAAAGAGTAGCACACAGCACTCCACATAATCCACTGTACTTCACAGTGGGTATTCGGGTACCTTTCCTCACATTCATCCTCTGTTTTTCGCTACATCCTCCTGGAGTATGTTGGTGAAGAGATTAGTACCATCAAACATAAAGCTCCACCAAAATTAGCTTCGTTAGTTCCATGAAACACGACTCGGATAGACTGGACTCCACAACGACGTTGTTTTTTTGATAATAAATGAAGCTGAAGCCACTGATTTAAAAAGCATTTAGGTTACGTATAGAAATAAAGCCTTAGTAAAATATTTGTGTTTCCAAAATCCATTTTCTAAAATATATATTTTTAGGTACAAACTTGAAATGCTTCATAAATAGGTGACACTAAGATATAGGTTGGTTTAAAAATGTTCTTAAAAAAAGTGAGTGAATCTTTAGAATTTGAAATTATAAACTCTGTATCTAACCTGTGTGCAGTCAGAGACTTGTGCATAATCCTGTTTCCAGGGAGACAGCCTGCCAGCTCTGTCAGCACTAAAATATCTTTTAAGGAAATATCTTTAGCAGAAGAAAGTAAGACAACAGGTTGTTGCAGGAGAGGCAGAAGTTATTTTGCATTATAACTCTCTGGAAATTGCTTTTAAAATTGGACTGAGAATAATCATGGTTATAAAGATGTATATTTGGTTTTAAATGTACATTTTGACTCTAAATTAGTTGCAGCCGTTGTTGCATGTGTCTTTCTTTATAACATTTTGCCTGTCGTCTTGCAGGTCAGCGTGCGAAATGTGTACATATTCCCAGGGACCCCGTCTTTCATGGAGTTGGCCTTCACTGGGCTGGAGCACCTCTTTGCTAGTTCAGGAACCACATTTCACTCTCGAGAGGTAACATCACCCCACAGCTGTTGATTACAAAAAAAAGAAGAAGAAAAAAAAAAGAACCCTTGTGTTTTACTGCGACTGAACTGACGAAACGTGCCCATTTCAGGTGTTTGTGGATGCAGACGAAACAGAGATTGCGCCCGTGCTCACCAAACTGCAGGCCAGTTGGGGCCGAAGGGTGGCTCTTGGTTCTTACCCCGACTGGTTGAGTAATTATTGCAAAGTCAGACTGGTTCTGGACTCGGACAGCCAGGAGGAGGTGGACAAAGCCCGAGCTCAGCTGGTTGATCAGCTGCCCAAAGGAAGTGTTGTGTCCTTAATCAAAGACCCAGTGACTATTGCCCCTGCAGAGGTCTATAGACTGGCCAACAGTGGTGAGGCCTGCAAAGCTAAAGTCATGCTTCATATCAGTTTTTAACTGTGCAGGTGTGCACAGGTGAAAAAACACCTTAAAATACATTCATAGTTTATAGTACTAACAAAATCTCATTGAAAGGTTGGGAGGGGGGGGAAATCTAATGTTGAGTACATTTACTTTCCAGATGCTAATCTTTAGCTTCCTACCTGGAGTATTTTAAAATCAACAGAAATGATGGTAAATATTATAAAGTAAGCTATGAATACAAATACTTCCATTACTTTCTTTTTATATGAATTTTTAGTTGTACCAATAGGTGTGCCACGATTATTTGAAATTATCTGATTGCTTTTTCCCCCCCCCTACTGAATAAATGTTCTCAAATTAAAGGCTGGATGTGTCAGATTTATTTTCTACCAGATTATGATGCTGCAAGAAAATATGAATTTATTCTGCAATTTTTCTGCATTTTTACCAGAGGTAACATTTGTGCACATCTGCATAGCAACAGGCTAGATGTTTAGAGACCAGTAGATGAAGAAAAAAAAAAAAAGAATGTAATAGTGGATTATCACAAAATTTACATTTTATGAGACCAAATGGCAAAATAAGTTAAACAACCTGCAGTTAGCTTTAGGAATTATGAATGACTTATGCCTATTTACTTTTGATTATGAACCATAATCTCACTGTGGAGTTCTTTCCTCAGGCACAGCGTTGGGCGAGAAAGTGAAGTGTGCGCTGAAAACGATAGAGACGGCACTGGATCAGTATTCAGCTGAGCAGGTCTGCGTTGGCTACAATGGAGGCAAAGACTGCACGGCTCTGCTCCATCTATACTACTCTACGCTGAAACGGTAACTGGAAAGGAGCTGTGTGAAGCTGACACCCCACCCACGTCAAAAAATTCAGCAAATAGTCTGAATGGTTAGTGCTCCGTTTGTGCAGGTTTGTGCCGTTAAAATTTTCGTTTGTGCAGTTTTGGTTTCTGAGATATTAAAAATTATTTTTTAGGTCATCTAGAGTTCACCATCCCCCCATATCGCTCCAAAACAAACCAAAGTGGGCTAGTTCGTTAGTGCTCCGTTTGTGCAGGCTTGTGCCGTTGAAATTTTCTTTTGTGCAGCTTTTGTTTTCGAGATATTAAAAGTTATAATTTTGGCCGATGACGTCACCGTCACCCCATCTTGCGCCAAAACAAACCAAAGTGACTTCATCGGCCAAAATTATAACTTTTAATATCTCGAAAACAAAAGCTGCACAAA